CGCGCCCCTGAACTCTGTCAACTCTGTGGCTGGGCTCTGTGGCTGGGCCTTGTCCCGCTCTTGTCCTCCTAGTATACAGCAACTCTGTGGCCCGGCTCTGTGTCCGGGTCTTGTCCTCCTCTTGTCCTCTGTCTTGGCCGCGCCCCTGAACTCTGTGGCTGGGCTCTGTGGCCCGGCTCTGCGTCCGCACCTTTCCAAGAAGGACAAACAAACAACTAGGGTCACTCAAAAAGTTTTGTGTTTTCAGTTTTCTGAGCTTAGTTTGCTATATCTCCATCCACCTCCCATATATATAAATAACGAGCAGCTCTCCGCCATTTTGATCCTCCCTTAGTTTTCTATATCTTCTTCCACCTCCCATATTTATGAATACTAGCTGCTCCTCCAAAAATGTTTCAGTGTTTCAGTGTCAATGCCGACAAAAATTCATTGATGAAGCAGTTTGCTCTTGGGGTGAAAGTAGGGCGAACCAAGAAATCGTGATTGACTAATATTGGTCTTAAACGAATCGTTGAATCGTTTTGAAGCTGTTTGGGGTCTATGCTTGTATAATTTGTTAAAGGACTGGTTAAAAGTATCTTCAAATTACCGATGCCACAGCAATTTCTAAGAACTGATAAGAAATGTAGATGTGTTCTCAACGCACTCTGAGGCACTTTGGCTTTCAAGCTGACAAGATTGACACAGAGGCTGCAGGTTCTTTCAGAGCTGTTGTCAAGCATGTGTGCGGTATGACTGGGAAGAACATGGACGCTATGTTGACCAGTCTCGGAAATGAGCTTGCGTTCAACACCCTGAGGGATGCAGGCAGACGACATAAGAAAGCAGAGAAAACAGTCCCGGAGAACCTGCACAGTGTTGCGTGCAAATCGGTATGGACACATCCTATGGGGGCATCCACTTTGGAGCTGGAGGAACCAGACTGGCAAGTTCCGCTGACCAAGAAGGCGATCAAGGCAAGCATCTTTAGCTCCTTGAGGACTACTGACGCAAGCCTTGGCATCAATGGGAATGGCCTGACCAAGCGAGGAAGAATCGATGCACTCACAAAGCCACACATTTTTTGTCAGAGACTCGAGCTGTTCCAATGCCTACGTGAGGTGTATGAGCAGTGTCCAGAAGCTGATGAGGAGAAAAAGGCAGATGCTGTGGCTGCAGCATACTGCCAGGCATGGGTCTCCAGACTGATCCCTCAGCACTGGTTTATTGCTCCAACAGCCAAGGTCGACAGTGACAATGCGAGTGGCATGCTGCTGAATCCTTCTTTGGTCATTCGCGCTGGTCCTCATGATGTCGTTTGCTTGGACATGTCGCCTGCAACCAGTGACAAGTGCTTTGGCCTTTCTTCAGGAGACTTCACCAAGCCCAAAAGCATGATGATCCCAGATCTAAAGTCACACAAAGTTGCTGCCTCAAAGCCAGTGGTTGACAAGAGGTTGTGCTGGGAGCAAAGCAGTCCGTGGATGTCGATTTGCGATTGTGTGGCAGATGTAACGATCAAGACATTGTCAGGAGCATTGGTGGGCAAGCTTTGCTCTCAACTTGGCTTGAAAGGACACAGCAAGCTCGACCATCGTCATAAAGTGATGCTGTTTCTCCAACATATGAGGAGGTCAGAGGAATATATCCAGGAGGTGATGGATGCTTTGCCGGAGAGAAAGCGAAAGAAGGCCATATATGACTAACAACTATTGAGATAATATTGATAGATATTGATATGTGATGAATGTTCTTTGATGTAGTGAGAGCTTGACGTGGAATCTACTGTTTGCATATTTGGGTTTCATGGTTTCTTAGTTTGTTGTGCTTTGTCTGTGGTAGTCAAGAATTCAGCATAAACACGCTAGGATGTAATGCTCAAATATGTAATGTAAGTAAATGTCAAGTGCCTTTTCGCTAGACTGTGTCTGATATTTTGCACCAATCAGTGGCATAAACTAGTCCAAACTATTGTGTTTTTTCGGATTCAGGACATGAGGTTTCCTCAAAGAGGTTGATTAAAACACAGTCCTGACTGTGAAAGTGAAAAGCAAACAATCTATTTAATGTAAATTTAAAGAGCAAACAATGTTTTTGGCTCTCGCCATCCCCCGTGTCCGGTGCAGGACAAGGACGATGGGAACATTGATTCAGGCTCCTCGGGGTCAGAGGCAGAGGAACACAGGAGTTCGGAGCAATCAAAGCAGCTGAATGAGGAGGAGGAGGGCATTGAGCTTCTTCAAATCCCAGAGGAGGAAGTGGAGACTTCGACTTCAGATGCACCGGCTCCTGCGTCTTCTGCTGCATGTCAGCCAGAAGTCCCCCCCCGAAGCCACCGATGTGGACATGGAAGCAAAGCAGCCGGAAGACCCCTGCACAGAAGCAGCTTCTAAGGAGTCTCGCAAGGCTTTGGTTTAGAAAGTCAGCTAATAATTTAAATGTTGAAGTGTTTATTGTGTTAGGTGTCCAGCTAACTCCGACAAGTGTTGCCTGTGTGAGCTGTACGAAGGCTCGTTCAGATGGATCTCACCTACCAGCGATGGTCGGTATGAACCATGGGCAGCTCACAGGAGAGCACTTGCCCCCTGGAGTGTCGGCGAATTGGGGCGAGCCAAAGAGTGGTGCCAGTCCTTTCCTGCAGGCCCATTTGCCTCGTGGATTTAGCCACAATGGCAGAAAATCCAGGTCTGTGTCATTTCTAGATTCCAGTGTTTCGAGTTCGAGCAAGGGAACTTCGCGAAGCCGCGAGGAGGCTATTCGGTGTGTTTTGGCATGGTGCTGGGAGTGGTGGAACGCCCTCCCAGAGAAGACACAGCGTTCGATTAAGGATGCTAGTGACGCTAATGTTGGCTCGGTGAAGAAGCGCCGAGGGGAGAGTTAAACCTTCAGATGCTGCAATGGGGTGCGGTGAAAAATGGGATACATTTGCTGCAGTGGGCGTCGCAGTGTTTAGGAATGCTGTGTTGAGGTTGAGTGATCATTTTTGTTGTATCTGCGTTTTTCATCAAAAACAGGTAGAAGTTGAAGTTGCTATTGGGAATGGGGGATTCCATTTTCGAATGATACGAGCTTTCAGGGAGAATTATGAAGATGAAAATGGATGATTCAGGAGAAAGCAAAGACATCTTGTGCTACGGCCTAGTGACCGTTTACCATTGATTCTCATGAATACCATCATTGATCATCGTGCTTGCATGCATGTGAGAAAAACACATGCTGCATGCTCCATTCCCCTGCTTCAAACTGGACCAACGATATATATATATATATAAGCGCATCAATCAACATTGATCAACATGTCATGAAACATGGAAACTGACAGTCTTTCTCTGATCTGGTAGCCAAACATCATCTCCTGACTGTATCATATGAAACCACGTGACATCTGGCCGTCCCACACGACCTCTTAACCTTCGTCTCATAAGATCCCGTTTTGACCTCGTCGGGCCACATGCGCGTCATCGGGAGACTGGCGCCCGGAGAGCACTTGGAGAGCAAGAAACCATTGGAGCAGCTGCTCGTGAACAACAACTCCTGCTACGCCGCCGGTGCGGTGTCCGAAGGCACGACTGAAGGGTGCGGTGTCAGAGGTCCGGTCTATGACGCCGGTTTGGATTACCAAGCAGAAAGGGCACGTCTTTGGGTGTCTTGCGGTATATGTCCGGTAGTAGTTTCTCGAGTCGTTTCTGTCGTTCCCAGCACCATGGCCACCCAAACTGAAGACCCTTCAAGACCGTCAAACACCCGCGCCTCAGGGCATGGGACAAAGTCTGGAGACACACCCGTCGAACTTGAACGGCGCAGGTGTTCCAGCAGAGCAGCCTTGGCGCAGCATACCCCGTGGCCAGCGGAGGAGGTCTGCAAAAAGGTCTCGTTGGTGACCTGGATTGAAGACTCCACTACGACATGGGCGCTTTTATCAGCAGTTTTCCACGTGAACATGGCGTAAATCGAACAGAACCCCTACCTAAACTGACCCAAACCCGTTCAAAATCCAAACGACAAAGACCGGTCTAGGACATGTAAAGACCGGTCTTATGGACCGGCGTGTCCGCGACGCGCTCGACCGCGTGCTCGACCGCCCACCCTCGGCAAGAAGCGCTCAAGTTCGCCAGCGTAGCACAGAAGAAACCCAAGACCTTCACTGATGAGTGGTCAAGCAGCGCCACTCTGAGATCTTTTCACCAAGGGGGAGAAAAAAGAAACACATGAGACTTGAACCAGGTCAAGGACGTGACCTGATGTGTTCTGTTTAGTTTCTTGAGACATCGATTTCTTAAGGGCGGACGACAAAGGGTGTCCGATCCTTCGATCCTTTCGGCGGTTTTGAAAGGGATCGAAAGGGTAAACATTGATCTTGAACATCCTCAAACATGATCAACATCCATTGTCGATCTAATTATCCCTTCAGTCATCACCGGGCCTAACAACTGATCTTAGTGATCTCTAACTGCAAGTTACCTCCAGCATTGTGCTCAAAAGAACAAGACAACAACAAGCTGAGTATATATATATATATATTAAGAGTCGAGTGATTACTTGAAACGGTGTTTGTCAACGAAAAGCATGCAGGTTGGTATGCATGTTCTTCCGCCGGGCGACGTATTTGGTTGAGCGATTGAGGTGGTAGCCCCTGTAGCGGTAGATCGCTGGGAAGATCCTGAGCCATGTCGACAGCTCGGCGTTCTGAGGCGAGCGGGGCAAGACGGAGGAACATGTCGCGTTCGAACATTGTTTGGTTTGCGGAACAACAAGTACTTCATCTTGCCAAGTCTTGACATCAATCTGGATGTGCTGGTTCGATATACATTTATATGTCAATGTATGCATGTGTTCATCCATCTGTGCTCTCAGTAGTTTCTTCTTGCATCTCTTTTTGAGGGTGAGTGTGGAATGACACTACTTAGATGCCAAATGTTGCCAATGATACTGAATCTCGGCCAAATTTGTGACAACTGATCGCCTTCTTTTACGATCAACACACCTTGCAGCCACTTTTATTTGGCAACAAACTTCAACTCAACACACGTTGCAGCCACTTTTATTTGGCAACAAACTTCAACTCGACCGAAAAACGCATGATCTACGTGATCTATTCCAGGCCAGTGACACTTTCTCGTAGAGTGGCACCAACAAAATAATGCCTCGGCAAGGCGGCAGTCGCTGGCACGGAGGAAACCCAAGTGAGTCCAAAATTAAAGGTGTGTCCATGTTTGTCCGGCTGTTGAAATCAACGTTGGCGGGACTTGGCGAAACGAGGAATCTCAAAATATTTAAAAACAGGATGCTTCAAGTAAAACCCCAGTCCCACTTGACAACCACGAACAGGGTAACAGGGGTATATATATATAAGTCTATATATAGTGTTATTATAGTTCTCCCCAGTCTGTCCAACCATCATCTTCATATCTCAAAACCAGGAATCAGATCAAAAGAAGCTCATCCACATCTCTATCCTTCACTCCCTCCGCACGATTCCACCATTTCCCTTCCCCCGGAACAAGAACGACGAATGAAGCGGAACACGTTGCAATGATCTGTCGAGTTGCCAAAGGCGTCGCCTAAGCTGAAGAAGCTTCCATTGAGCTGCTCGCCAAACAAACGGGTGTCCATCTGACATGCCTGGCTGAGCACTGGGCAGCTTGGCGGCTAAGCAAAAGTTATAGAGTTTGGCGAACAGAATTCCAGCACCGTTCAGGTACTTATGGAAGGAAACACATACTCATCAGCGGTGCCTCTAAACCACCTGAACTCCCTGGTGTTTCCGCTTTCTGGGGCTCCAGGGTGCCACCGGATGTGCGCGGACGCCGAATCCTGCCTGAGCTGGGTAGGCGTTGTTCATCGCGTTGTACAGGATGTTGAAGCCAACCTTGAGTTGGTCTGATCCACGATGATTGACATGTGGAAGGCAAGGAAGAAACTGAACAAAGGGCCAGGGGGAAGAAACAATTCGAGCAAAAGATAAAGCGAGCGGGATGATCGTGAAACGCTGGAAGCTAAACATCAGGAAATGACTAGTGGCAGCGTTCGCTGTACAGCCAAAACCCGAGCGCTCAGGAAATCATGCCCTAAACCTCATGGTATGTTGCCATGAAGGAAAATACACACACAGCCACAGCCAGCGACTTGAAGGAAGAACGCAATGTCATGTCCATGCATCATCCTCAAAATGAAACTGGCAGAAAAGGATGAGTCACACAGATTAAGAGGACGCAACATGAGCAAATGCAGCAGACGGTTCCAATGTGCACGCGAGCGCAAACGCAGCTCACAAAGGCGAGGGTGTGCCATCTCATTCAGCGCACACATGGCTTATCTACCACGACCCAGTGGATGATGGTTAGTGAAGGCCAAGACTACAGCTAAGTGCGGACACACCCAATGTATGGCCATCTACTTCCTATTTCAAGAAGTGTGGCTCCAGGTGCATCACTAGTCCAACTAGTCGATGGCCATGGGGTGAAGCTTTGGCCGCGCCATGTCCCTTACCTCGAGAACGAGTGTTCTTGTTGGTTTGGCCTGTCCATCTGAATGCCAACATCACAAGCTCAAGTGAAGCCGGCAAAGGTGAAGTGGGAACATGTTTATTGGGGTGACCATGGACACGAAAAAGAAAGCCTCCCATGCTCGCTTCTTAATCATCATTGAGCTTTCGTCAGGAACTGTGAGCGCGATCTCTGCCATTTGGGTCTGATACGGCTCTCTGATGAGTTTTCAAAGATTGGTGCCGAGTGAAGCCCCTTCTCATCATGCAGGTTAGCTCATCATGCCTTGCTCTTCATTCTAAAGCGGAGACTCAAGACGGCGGGAAAAACCTCTTGAATGCTGGTCTTTCCTCCGTTTTTGCCATTCCTGGTGGCCTTTCAAGAGCGATGAAGTCACGAGCACAGATTCGTAAATTGGTGCACCAATTGACTCCTCCTTCAGTGGGATTCTCCAGCTCCCTGCCTTCTCCAGCTCCCTCGTCACAGCAAGAGGTCTTGGGTTCACCATGGCACGAAAGGTTTGATGACCATCTCCTTCGGCATACCGTGGGAAGAATGGAACCCTTGCGTGCTGTGCCTGGTACATGCGTATCCTGTATCGAATGAGACAGGGTTTTCTCTTTCCTCTGACGAAGCACGGGACAAGAGCTGCCAACGCTCTCCATGCTGCGATCCCTCCCCTCACTCGGCGACAAAATCCTCCGAATCATCCCACAATACAACCTGTCCTCACCCGGGAAAGACATGGGATAGACACAAGACAGATCTCAAAGTTATGCGTGTGTGGGTGTTTTTGGGCTTGGTTTAGAAAAAGATAACATGGAACATGATGGAACAACTCCCCCAGCCTCCTTTTGACAATCCTCCTGCCAAGCAGCATTGATGCAAATGATTGTGGGCACCTCAGGCAGACTGACGGAGATCAACAAACCAAGTTGGACTCCTTCAAGAGCATGGGGCAATACTAGAAGTAAAATGAAGAAACCATGGAACAACTTCAGGAAGCTTTTCACTTCTCAGTTCACTATCTATTTCGATTGCTTTCATCACCAGGCCCACCACATCATCACATCCCTGCACAACCCCCGCCCCTGCGTTTTCGGCTGACATGTCTCATTCGGCTGGTCGGCCGAGGCGCACAGTCCAAGGCCCCTCGCACATCCGCTGTGCTGATCGCAGCAGGTGACGCATCAGCGGAGGCACCCGAATCCTAGAGCCGGTGCCGAAGCATTTGGGAGTACATAGGTCATACATGCTACAAATCCTAGACCATCTATGCGTCTGGCATATGCAAATTGACCTCTGCAACCCACCTCAATGGAGTAAATGCAGTACAGGGAGTGTCTGGGAACTGTAGAATGTCGGGTAAGCAGTTGGGAACCTCTTATTAGGGACTCACCCAGGTCCTGCAGGGCACTGGAAAGTTGCAAAGATGATGTTGCTCTAATTGTTCGGCACCAGGAATAGATATTTGATGATATTCGTCTTTCTAGTCTGAATCCATGTTCATAAATATGTAGTTTCCATCATTGGCACCCAACAGCGCTTGACCTCCCAGCTTTCTTACTGGACTCCCAACTCACATCCTTCATCGGCTCTCGTGTCCCGTTGGAGTTGGTCATAATTTCATGAACCCACTTGCAGCAAGTTCCCCCACGAAGCCGTCTGGCGCCTCTAGGAAGCCATCTGGAGCCTCTACGAAGTCATTCCGCCGGTGTAGGAGCACCTGAGATTGAAAGCCCGATTTAGGAGTGGACCTCTGGCCGCTTTACACATCGAGTAGTATCGTGTATGTTCTGGAAGCTGAGTCACTCAGACTTTTGATGTGGCCTGAAACATGGTGACATGGTGCAGCTAGATGCACACCCGGCAATAGCCGATAGCCTTTTAAGAAACTCCGGATCCTGTAAACCTTGTGATACAGAAACTATTCCGCACATTCGGCCAAACAAGGACCCAAAAATACCCCAAAAACGAACGCAACACACCACCTGCCTGACCCTCAAACCGGCTCTGGCCCCGTTAACATCACCTTAACTGCTACTCAGACCCCAAAGAAATGAAGCGACTAAGCCTGACAACCTCACCAAAGTGCTTCGCCGGCGAAAAAGGTTGGATTTGTAGATCTGTTGGGATGGTCCCTTTTTGTTTCAATCAAAGAGATGATCAAGGTTTCGATCGTGTCCAGGGGGTTCTTTGAGACTGGTCATCTGTTTCTGGGTGGTCTGAAAGTATTTTTCACAGTGGTGTTTGGTTGCACTATGGAGGGGCACCTATATGTACCTGTCAATAATTATGGTACGTATCCCAGCAGGAAGCATCGCAAGCACTTTCCACCGAACTCTGTTCCAAAAAGTCCGTTTTCAAGACGTCTGCCTACTATAGTTGGCTGTGGGTCAAAACATGACCCACCTGGAAGATCAAGCTGCATGGTGGACCAAACCTCCAGGTTTTGACCCATCCCCAGTTCACTTGAACAGGTCGGACGAGGCTGGGCCAGGTGTCACGTGTTGACTCGTTTGACTCGTGCTGGAACCAAGGAGCCAAGAGGCTACAGGAGAGCAAGGCCAAGACCATGGCAAGCCAGGTCATGCTCTGAGAGATCCTGAAGAGGGAGAGGATGAGATACATGTCCAACTTCTGCCCAGAGAAACCTTCCAGAAATCCATGGCAGGAGAAAATGATGAATTCAGGAGCTCACGTATTGTTTTCACGGAATCTCAGGTTCTGAAATCATCCAGGATCGTCCAATGGGTGTCCAATAGACTACCCTACCCTACTTACAGGTCTCCAGACAGGGCACCCAGACAGGAAGTGCTACCGGGTACTGCGAGCCCCGGACGGACATCGGACGAGACGAAGAGATCGCGCCTGGGGAAAGATCCCAAGAGGGAGCCGCACAAGACGATGATCATGTAGATTGGGATCAACATCCATGCCAGCACCTAGGTACATCAGGATGACTGTCATTGGGCACGTGTGCAGGTCACCGTTTTGTGCAGGTCACCACTTCACTAGGTTCCGTAGAGGGTTTACAACTAATTACCGTTCTTGCGAGGTAGGAAGTCCAAGTGGATTGCAGTAGAACTGGAGCCCACCCTACGCACTGAAGTAGAGCTCACTTCGAGCTAAGAACTCTGCAGCTCAGCCGCGCAAAGCTTCCCTTTTCCGTGGCGTTGGGCGGCACGACGGAGATGGGCGGCTAGGACTCTCAGCATCGGCCGTCGAGCCACACGGCCCTTGGCCACGTACCTCGGCGGCGTGCAGGCGGCGTGGAGTCCGGCGTGGAGGTCGTCGGAACGGCACAAAGCACCACCGGGGGTGCTTTGTAGGGGAAAGAGATGGGACAGGGGGAGAAACCATATGCCCCCTCCTAGTAGCTAGAAGCCACTAGGAACAAGGGCATCAATACCAAGGGCATTACTACCAATTTTAGTAGCTGTATATAGAAGCTAGTCAACAAAAATAGGGATTTTTGAGACCCAAACGATCCCTCCAATGTATTCCAATGTGTGAGGCTCCCCAGGAGCGTCTGGAGCACAAGAAGCTAGAGACCAGCGGATGGGAGAATCTTCATAGACAATTCCAACACTGGTGTCTGGGTGGATGCAAGATGATGAAAGTACTTGTACGGCTGTCCTGGCCAAACATTTCTAAACTCAAACCAGCAATGCTCTCGCTCCTCAGTACACTACAACTTGCCCCAATGGGATGATACAGAAAATTGGTGCGGGGCAATACATGTAGTCTGCCTTTCTAGCAGGGTGTCATGAAGCCATCCCCATCCAAGGCATTTGCAAGAAAAGAATTCGTTTGACGAGGTCAAACTCCAACTCCAACCATCCCACCTGGACCCGTGGTCGGCCCAAATCTTGCAACAAAAACAACAATCATTGTTTTTTTTTCACCACCAGACCTTCTCGTGTTCTTCACTTTTTGTTTGTTGTTTCTTTTTCATTGTAGTCCAAAACAACCGGTAAATGCTTGATGTGTTGCTTTGCAGGCCAGTCCGTTGCAAACACTCACTCTCGCTGTTCGTTGCAAACACTCTCGCCTGGGCGTGCCCAGTGCGAAGCAAAGAAGGGCTATGAGCATGGCGCCAGCAGCGATGCAATAGGCTTTCAAATATCCTGAAAGCGCCACAAGGATTCTTCAGTTCATCAAATGTCATGATGGAAGAACTGATTTAAAGCCACCCAAGCTTCAAATGGTATGAAGATGGGCTTTCCAAGTGGTATGAACCCCCACAATGTGAGCAACACCAACAGCTTCGGTTGCGGATGTGTTGCAGTGTTTGATACGGTAATTTGAGAAAAAAAAAGACTGGTCATAGTTCCAGGGGGTTCAAAGTAGTGGTTCCGTGCTTCTTGCTAGGTTTAAATCCACATCCACCTAAGTAACAAAGAAGGCAACCAATGGAAATGTCTGGCATTTGGAACACTTCTATCCAAGTCTTCACTCCACTCGTGCTCACAGCCTATCTAATCTAAGAATCTAATATTTTGTATATAGACTCTTGATTTAAAAAAAAACATTTGGATTGAACAACCTCTTGGATATGGTGGGTTCATTGATCAAGCGTATACATGACCTGTTGTTGATCCTTTGTTACGGACCAGCTGGAACGACCGGGGCGGCCTGTGCCAGCCGAGGCCTCAGATGACCCGCTGGTGGCCAAGTTCACCTTGGACGGCGCCGGACAACGGGTGGGCGACGTGGAGGTGGCTCGAAGGAGACGTCCAGCAAGGCCTTCGGAATATCCAATATCTAACTGACCTTCAACAGGAAAAAGTCCAGCTCCAAGTTTAAGCAGTGGCTCTCAATGTTCTGACTTCGGAATACTCTTAGCTAATCACCAGCGTCCTCTCCTGAGAATTTTTGGACTTCCTTCTTCAGCTTTCACGGTCCTCCACTTTCCACAGCTGCCTGTATCTTGGAAATGTGACCAGCTCGATATCTCCAACTTGATCCCCTCTTTGACCCCACTGACCCCACTTCTGGGAGACCCAACATCTTCTCAAAGAAAGCGCGAAGATGTCTAACTACCAGGGGCCAAGCTGTCCAGGGGCCGCCCTCGACTTGACCTTCGACCTCCGACCTCCGTCTTCGTGGATGTGAACGCCACGTTCTCCCCGTGGATCCCAGATCCGGCTAGACTCGGTTCATGGAAGAATGAACGAACTCGTCTCAGCTGGTTTTTGCAATTGCTGCCTTTTGTTTCATCCTAGGGCCTCAGAACTGGGCCTATGGGCTGTTCATTTCACGTGTTCATGGCACAGCTCAGCTCTTCCAAACCGGGCCGTCGAGCCGGCCATGCCTGGATGAACCATTCTTCAAGGTTAACCTCTCGATGTCCATGGATGAGCAGCACATTCAAAAAAAAAAGGAAACACATGGAAAGCCCATGGAAAGCTGGGTGGAACCTGCCAGGTGGACCTGAAGCATCATTTCGCACAGTCCATCAGTCCAGAGAGCTTTGAAGCCCAAAATCACACGTCCAAGGCACAGTGAAGCCCATCGCAAAGACCACTCCTGGGTGAAGGGCGAAGCCGTTGGCGCCGTTGGGGTGCGACATTGGTCTACCTGTTTCGGCACGAGGCAAGCTGGTAAGTTGTATCCCACCACATTGTCACATAGTCCACAAAAAAATACATCTTCCCGATTAATGTGAGATGTGCTTGTCAGAAATGAACCATGCAGTATGAGAGCTGGAAGTGGAAAATGCTGAATGCGTCTGGAATTTGAGGGAAGCGATGCTGACAATGCATCCCTAGGCATAGGCATCCTCAATACTCCGTACCCCCTTAAAGACCTCCCAATGGATCCAGATGGTGATGTTACTCTTTGCAAAAATAGTGGCATTGGTTCGCCAGATGGCAGTTCAGGGCTGAGTTTCCTACCCAGGAAACCTCTCGCAAAATCCCAGGTCCGGCTATTTTGGGCGAGCCCTCATAGAAACCACATGAAACCACTACAGTATGTCTTGGGATATGAGCCACGAGCTCTTATTGCGCAACATCCAATACAGGAACGAGACAAATACCTTCGTTGTGAAATCAATCATGGTTTTGTATTTTTTCCGCTTCCATCTCGGCGTTCAAAGGCCCCACGTGATATTTGTGTCTCTATCCGAGCATCCGATGTTGATGGTCAAATAGAAATAGGAAAAGAAGGCCTTTTGCTGCACCAGCTCTTCTGCATCCTGGCAACGATCGAAAAAGCTCTGTTCAGAACGAGTCTGTCTTGATATATGTTCCGTCTCAGAGGTTCTCTGAGCAAAAACCGTCAAAACTGCAAAGTCCCAAAGAGTCCAGAGCTCAGCTGTGTGAAACACGGGGAATGCGGAAGGTAAAAAGAACCACCGCGACAGGTGTGAACTTCAAAGCTTCAAACCTACCGACCTGGGCCGATTCGATCCATCGGTTCCCCATGTCCCCCACGGCGTCCTTCCAAAACGTCCTGGTTCATTCCGTCTCACTCTGCGGCCTGAGAATAGGGGCTCAGTGCCAGGTATCATGTTTGTTATAACATGCTATAACTACCATGCATGTATATAACCTACTGCTTCTCCTCGATTTATCAACCAAAGGCCATCGAAACATGGCTCAATAACTGTTGTAGCCTCACACTTCTGCCAAACGCTGCCAAATGCACCTGTAGACACTCCTGTAGACCCATTCCTGCTATTTCCCGCAGCACACCTTCCACCTCAGCCCCCCCCCAAACTCCCCAGATCGGCGGGTCGCTCCACGGCTCCTCGGTGTCGTACTGATCCGCCCCGAAGTTCATCACGTTGGGCTTGATCGCTCCAGTACCCAAGGCCACAAACACAAAGGCCCCCAGCCTGGTCCAACGACGCTGGTTCCCGCGTGCGGTCCAAGAGGACGCGCGTTCGCCGGGCTGAGAAGAGCCGAGAAGAGCTGGTGAGAAGGGGGCGAGATCGCAATCCTAGACGCTCTGGACTGGAATGACACTGGAAGATGGACTGACATGGACACCTGTTCAAAAACCGGTAAATATAGGTGGAGTGTCTGAACAAAACACGACAGATGGACACGCGAACGATCGCAAACGCTGATTAGCTGCGTCCGCAAACAAAAAATGGGCGCACACACACAAAGACCTTGTTGGACAGTTTATATTATATACCAAAGGTTGTTCTCCCCCTAGAACCGAAGATCCAACCTCAGATCCAGCAGTGAATCGCGGCAGAATTCACCGAAATGTTGGCTGACGAAGTCCAAATGGTCCAAGTAATCCGACCAACTGGACGTTCCTATTGCAGGTCCCAGACGCAGGTAGAGCGGCACACCCCCAGCCGAGGCCATGATGCTGGGCACTGCTGCCAGCGCCACTAGCGCCACACCCAGCAGGTAGACCACGGCGAAGTAAAGGATCGTCCTCCGTGGTTTCTCCCCTGGAGGAGTCGTCCCCCAAAATGACTCTGGCGGACTTCCGGTTAGGCGCGGTCATGGAGTCATGTGGTTTGGTGTGGTTTGGTGAGAAAAGAAAGGGCCGTGAAGATCATTTCCAGATCCATGGAGGATTCGTTACATCATGTAGAAGGCATCTGAAGATTCGTTTCACATCTGACATCTTCAGATTCTACGAAACTATTGGGAGTCGGTCCGAATGGACCAAGTTGATCCGGATCGAAGTTGAACCTGCTTTCCCACCCAAAAAAAAAAGGAAACCGCGGTGGACTTCTGGATGCCAAGCCTCCTGGGTTGTCTCCACTTGCAGCGCATTGCATAAGATGTTTTATAGTATGGGGTGGACCATCGCTTACAAGTTCTGTCCAGTTGTCCAGGGCAAACGTTTCTCAGCAAAAACAAGGCCATACACGAACGAGTCTCAAGACTACACACAACCGCACCATGTTGATGTCCAACAGGGGTAGGGAGTGCAAGCAAAGGACATAAACTCTCAACTTATCAAAAAGATTCCGAAAGCAACCTCTGAAAACGATGAGGTTTCCAGCTCTAGGAGGATGAACAGTGTCAGAAACCCTGCGTCTTCCCTTAGTGACTTAGTGCTGGCTGCTTGGGTTTAATATTCTTAAAGGCCAAAAAACAAAATCCCAACCAACCGCAGGGAAGCCTTGAGGTGATTCTGGCCCCTGGATCTTGCACCGAACTCTCTCTTGCAGAGCCGAAACTCTATGAATTCATTCCACATCCGGAATATGCCCAGCAGAACTTGTGTTTATTTGATGAAACTCTCAAAACAAGAACAACACAAGCGCGGACACTCCTGTAGCGACCCAGGCGGTTGTCAGCGAGATAGCCTCCCAGCATGCAGGACATGTAGGATACCTGACATTGCTGCTTGGAGTTCGGTGCCGGCGGAAGAGGTGAGTTATCTCTGGTCAATCCGTTTGCGTTGGATGGAGGGGCCCTGATCAAATGGCACAAATCCCTAAACATCCATGTTTGGTAACCATGGTAGCGCACAGAAACTTGGGATGCAAGGCAAATGAAACCGAACGTTAAAAACATTAGATTGCATTTTGAAACAATGTGTTCAATTGCCAATTTGGTTGACTACCAAGCAAACAGGAGTGCTGTACAATTGAAGAAAACGGCATAGTCTTTCTGATTGGAATTGAACGGAAAACAACCCAAATACCGGATACCACTGGATTTTCCAGAAAAATCATTTACATTTTTTCGCCTGGTTTAGCCTAAGTTTCTGAAAACATGTGTTTCAGAACTGCCCAGTTTGACATGACCCCCTAGAACAACATCAAAAACATCTCCAATTTCATCTAGTTGTCCGTCAAACAACCCAATGTTCAGCCTCCAAACGCCCGGTTTTTTCATGTTGCGTAGATCTTCCAGCTCTAGCCTGCAACAATTGTTTCAAGCTTATAAGGCTGTTTGCTAGGCATGTTTAAGGACATGGCCGCCTCCTTCGCTGATGTAGGCCCTGTCCCACTTATTTCACAGGTGCGGCCCTAAGTCCTCCCAAGGCGCCATGCTCCAACAAGCTGAGACGGAGAATGCCACTGACGCCTGGATGGGGCACGTGGCAATTCAACATCCCCACATCCAGCCGCGCCGAAGCACGGCCCGGCTGTTGCTAGTTGTTTAGGTGCGGAAAAGACACACAAGATGGAACCCACAAACCCGAATGGAAACATGTACTCAAAAACCAGCGGCCAAACATATATATTGACACTCTTGTAAGAATGCTCTTGTGGGACACTCTCGTGCGATACTTTTGTCACTCTGTGAGACACTCTTGCAGGACACTCTTGTAGGACACTCTTGTGGGACACTCTTGAAAGACACTCTTGTGGACTCTTGTGCAACACTCTCGCACGACACTCACGTACTCAAATGTAATTTGGCCACAGAAGATGCTTCCCGTACTACATGTGCACTACAAAGCTGCCAGTTCTACAGCTCCCACAACCTGCTGCTTGCCGCGCTACATTTGCACTATCAAGTGGCCAGTTCTGAGGCCACAGCTCTCAGAAGCTACATTTGTTCCCGTACTACATTTGCACTACCAAGTGGCCTGTCCTGAGGCCACAGCTCCCAGGAGCTGCTTCCCACACATCACATTTGCGCTGCAAGTTGCCACTTCTGAGGGACACTCTTGTGGGACACTCTTGTGGTGCACTCCTGCGGGACACTCTCGTGGGACCCTCCTGTACGACACTCTTGAGGGACACTCTTGCCGGACACTCTTGTGGGACACTCTTGTATACAGGACACTCTTGTCGGACACTGGACATTCTTGCCGGACACTGTTGTGGGACACTCTTGTGCGACTTGGTCTGCGATGGTGTCAATCTCGGCATCATCCATGTAGAAGTCATACCAGCTCAAAGAGCGTCACCACTGCTTCATAGCCTTGTCATGACTGGCCGCAGCAGAGCGTCCACCAAAGGACTGCAAATAGCTCCGTAACTCCTGCGCGAATCACCACGGCAAAAAAACATCAAAATGGGTAGGGTCCCCAGCATCCAACCCGTGGGGCCAGCATCTGAAGACATGGTTGAAAGTGCCCATGACTCCAGGTTGACCACGGCAGCCTGCACAACTTTTGGCGAAGGCAAGAGGCAATTGCCGCTGCCGCACATGGGACAAAAGAAAAACATACGTGTCTCTGTCTGTGCAGAAAAGCTCGTCTTCAAAGCATCATCAAGGTGTCTGGTTTGCTTTATGGCGAAGCGACTGTTCACACGGATTTCAATCTTTTGTCGATTTCACACCGACTCGTCGATATGGATCTTTTTGATCTGACGAGTCGATTCCTGCAGGGAAGCCTGCACTCGATTGTCAAGCGCCAAAAGTTTTGCCTTTATATGCTGAATGTCAAGTACGAGCGTCCTCGCAATGATACCACATCCTTGAGAAAAAAAACCGGACCTAAACGTCACCAACATATTCTTGCCAGCTTTGGGAGGGAGCTTTGTCCAATGAATACGGAAGAGTGGAAGCCGTGCATGCAAGACCCGTAATGTGTTCTCAGCACGGCAGCGCGGGTAAGCTAACAGACACGAGATATAGAAACAGTAGTAGTGGTACATGTATGCAAGAAGCAGGACTTGGAGCAGCAGCAACAGCAGCATATGGACACAGCAGCTGAGTCAGCAGTAGGCAGCAGCGAGGCAGTAAAAGCAGCAGCACGGGCAACAGAAAAAGGGCCAGGAGCAGCAAAAGCAACAAAAGCAGGACGGAGCGCAACAACAGGAGAGGCAAAGACAAAAGAAGAAGAGAATCACATAGAGCAGCAGCAGCAGTGGCTGAAGGACGAGGACCGTCAGGAGCAGAAGCAAAAGGAAGAACAGCGTGAGTAGCAACAGGGTCAGATCTGCAGCCAACAAGAGAAGGAGCAGCAGCATCAGAAGCAGGAGGTTGTAGGACACTTCTATAGGGCGTAGGACAGTCTTGTCGGCCACTCTTGCGGGACACTCTTGTGGAAAAGTCTTGTGGGACACTATTGTGGGACACTCTTGTCGGACACTCTTGTGGGACACTTTTGTGTATGACACTCTTGTGGTACACTCTTGCGAGACACTCTCCTAGGACACTCTTGCGGGACACTCTTGTAGGACGCATTTATGACCGCTTGTAGAACTGGTCAATCTGGGGCTGACACGTTTGATTGCCAGTTCACCTGGAAGTGTGAACCTCCCAGGCGTCCCAGGCGTTTTCACCTGGATTTCTCATGGGTTTAATCTTCCTTGGAGCATCCAGGTGAATGGTGTGTTCAGTGAACTCTCTGTGTCTGCTTGACTCAGCCACCTATGTAGCAACAATATTTAACTATAGTTACAGTTAACTCACCCGGACACTTCACATGTTCCGAATACCAAAAGCTTGCAGGTCCGACCCAGTTTCCATTTAAGATCATGTATCAACCCAAACCAAAAAGGTGTCTTTCCAGACATGTAAGACCGTGTATGCCCAATTTGTTGCTATCATGACCCATTTCCATCAGCCCTGTTTCAGCCCCTTGTTCACCCCAACCAAAAGCCCTGCTAGGCTGCACCCCCCGTACGATAACGCCTGCATTCCACGGGTGGCTCCTGTGTGCCGCACCGGACGGGCAAGCAGGGTGGGAACCTGTTTTAAAGGAATCTCTTTGTTCAAATTAATTGGCTAAGCATGGAAATAAACAACAACAATTACAATACAACTACATCATAGCATGGTGTTCACCTCCAAAACTATCTGTTTCCTGGTTTTGGGCTTGAAACTCATTCTGAGACTTGTGAGGTCATTCCCTACTTTCGTCGCCACTTTGTTCCGCCCCAGATGTCGCTAAGATGTTGGCATTGCCTCCATAGATGGACGCAAGAATTGGACCGTGGACCGGTGAATGTGGACCACTGAAGCAAACGTCGTATGTCGGCTTCGTCACGCCGACGGCGAGGGGGTGTCGACCGCTCGTCGCCGGCTGAAGTGACTCCCGGCATGACGAAGAGGGCACCAAGAGGGAAACTGCGAGTCTGCAACATGACGCTTGAGCAATGTGTCGAACGGCAAGCGTGCCCAAGAATGGTGAACGCGTCGAACGGCAGGAAATCACCTCCAGCGACAGGTCAACCTTTGGGGCAAATCCACCAGAAACCCACTAGCTGTACCGTTATATTCATAGCAGTGAATAAGAAAACAAAAGCTTAGGAGGTGTCCATAAAACAATACAGATTAAGGGGGTTCCACAAAAATCATAAAGCACCCATAAAGCACGGGTCGTTCTTGAGCTCCCACTCCCCTGTCAGACTGAGCGTGTCTGCACTCCTCCTCGGCCTGAGTCCTCCAAGTAGTTCCGCTGGGAGCCTCTCACCAAATGAGCTGAGCGTGGAAGATGTCAAGAGGCCAAGCTAAGAGATGGATAGATCTCACACACCGGGGTCCCATCCAACGCCGATTCTTGCCTTTTCATTTCGAAGCCTTGACTGGTGAACAGCAGAGTGTTGTGGTTGAATTTGTGACCTTTCTTCTTTCCTTGGCTGATGATGCAGTTCACCATGGGTTGTGGGGGGAAAGCGAGATCAACGAGAAAGCGGGCTGGTGAAACAAAAATGCGCGAGAGCTGGGCTGACGGTGATTCTGCTAGCTGCAGCTAGCTGCACTCTGCAAGAGTTGGTTACGAACACAGGCACTCAGGGATGGTTTCTGCGTTTCTCATTTCCTCGGTACTTTGCATTCAGATTGATCGTTTCCCTCTGGCAGGTGATCCACTTGGCTGCAAGGCTGCCACTCGGGTTGCCTTGAATGACACCATTCGAGTGTCCCAAGTTTCATGATGATGCACTGACCACTGAGGGCGTGGTTCGAGGCGCACCCCGATCTGGGCTGTGCGAAACAGTGACTTGCTTTCTTCTCCGTCGGTGGGAACGCGATTTCCATCCCATGCCATGGGTTGGGTTCTCCAGCTTTTTGCTGACTAATGGCTACGGAAGTGAGATGAGAGGGCGATTTCGGTTTAAAATTTGAATTGTGAATTTTGGTAGTTGGCACTTTGACATGTGCACAAAGCCACAGCCCTACTGGAGCCAAACTTCCCTTAAGCCATGACTTGTCGATGTCATGCAATAGCTGCGCTTTGAGCCGCTACGAGCAGTTTGGCGTCCTAAAGACGAAAGAAGTACTACTTATATAAACAGTTGTTCAGTTGGAACGATATGAAAAACAAAAACAACATGTTCAACTACAATGCATTATCACTCCCCGCAAGAGCATTTGGATCTCTTTCTTTTGTCAAATTTAGTTTAGTTATGTTTAGTTCATTTTAGTTCTACGTCTATATGTGCAGTTCTATAGTACAACTGGGCTTGCTCTCCCACCAGCCAGCGCATCGATTAAGAATCCATTGGCTCTTAAGGCGTTTTTTTTTTCTGACCCTATCCTCTCAAACTGGGCTCAGATAGATCAAAGCCCTGCGGCTGCCGGACACATCGGAACAACCAAATGTAAAACATAACACGATCAGGAGCAACAAAGTCTTCATGTCTTTCTCAATAAGCTGCTTTTCAGCTGAATTAAGGCCTGAAGTTCTAAGTTCAACGCCCCTTTCCTGAAGAATAAATTACTGAACATACCCGCCTGGGAGTCGATCCTTTCCATGATTTTTCCACGTGTGCGTCACAATGTTTTCTCTGGTGCTCGACATGAACAACTGCGCTGCCGTCGGCTTCGCGGCCGCCGCTTCCAGCACTCACGGCACGCGCCTTGCAGGGTGTAATAGCAAAGACGTTCGCACATCTCGACCACCAGGATGAAGGAACAAACGCTCAAGAGCTTGTTCCTGTTCCCAGGTCGCTCGACTTGGTAGTTTCATGTAGATCGATCCGTGTTACTCTCTAGTCTCCTTGGGGTGCTACACAACGACAACAAACGATGTGGGACCTGGCGCAGAAAAACGTGCGCAGCTCCCCGAAACAACTCTTTTTGTACATGCTTCTTATAGCCATGGGTCTGTGTATGTCTATGTCCAGTTGTTCCTTCGGTTTCTCTTCGCACTGCGACAGTCCTCCTCCTTGGGGCAGCCGCGCGTTCTTCCTGGTCCTGGGGGTGGCGGCACGGGTCGGGTCTCAGTGGCTGGGGTCTTGGTATGTCTTGGTGCAATTCTATACCCCCCCCACAAACGATCCCATGGAACCTGAGAATTGGCCTATGGTTTCGACCATCTTCCTCAACAACCAAGTGGTTTTAGGGTTCCATGTGGTCCTCTGCAAGGGAGTATTAGAATAGGGATACATTTTGCAGGTCGACCTCATGGTAGAAGCAACGCAAAAAGCTAGACGAAGGGCTGCGGGTCCCGCACCAAACGCAAAGGTTCTATACCCCTCAACACGCTTCCAAATGCTTCCAGTCTCAGAGTATGTATAAGAAATCTGCATCTGTAGGTCCGGACAAATGTCGGACAGAACATTAAACAACCCAAATGTTGGCATGTTGTATAGATGCTTCAGCTACTCCCCCAAAAATATGAATCTTACAAGCTTGTCACCTGCAAACGTGATAAACATAATTAAAATACCGGAACCAACACAATTAATGATCTAGACATCTCAAAAAAAAGAAACAAAGAAGGAGACAAACAAGCAGCAAAACATACTGTATCTAACTCAGTCAGCTGTCAGCTGGAAAAGAACACGGCAAACGTGCGACGTGCTCCCTGCGGCTCCTCCATCAGCTCTAGCGATTCTACACATCACCGATGAAGGATCCGAGAAGGAGGTCGTGGCGCTGCGTCATGGCGTTGCGTCAGCTCTCATGTGCTCACCACAGGTGTTGTGAGTTGCTGGTGGCAAGTGGCACAAACACGAAAACAAATCGTCTATTAATGTCTATGATATTATGTTTCTTTCATGTTCTATCGTTCATATGTTGCTTGTGATCCTTCACAAAGGATGGTAAGTTCTTGTACGATTGGTTGCAGTGCAAATGTCGGGTAGGGTATATAGGATGCCAAAATGATACTTGCTCTTCTCAGAAGTTGCCTCGAATATGTCACAGAGCCTGGGTAATATAACCCAATGTTTCTCTCCGTGCCTTTCCTTCAATTACAAGAGTTCCAAGAGCCGCAAGAGGCGGCTTCATAGCGGCTTTCTCTCTCCTACAGCTTTGGCTGCAGCGTTGGTATGATAGCTTGACATGGTATTTATTGAATACTTGTTCATATCTGTTCATGTCTCTTTCCATGTCGAAGCTGCCTGGCCCAAGAGCCCTAGTGGCTAACTGCAGGAATCGCACTGGAAGTGTAGCTCAACTAGGGAAACCTCTCCCCCCCAAAAAATAGCCTGGAAGAAGGAACATAGACCAAAACTCCTTGGTTAGGGGTCTTCCTATTAAACACACACACACCGAACTATATAGATCTGAGCTCTGTTTAAAAGCTGATGGATACCCACAGTGCCACTTTCTGCCACCAGATCCATCATATCACTCCGTTCTGTGCCTCTAGATGTGTTGAAAAACAAAGTTACCACAACTTATCTCGATTTTCGGAGAGGCCTCGCTTCGGAAGGATCTTCGACCTGGGAAGGGTCTTCGGTCTTCGGTCTTCGCGTCGCGCGAGTCGGGGGTTGGTGTTCCCAACGGAAACAGGTCGGGCTTTCACAAATCCCAAAGACTTCACTACATTTGAGGTGGTTGTTTCAGGCTGGTGAATGTAGGATGTCGACATGCACCCAACCCTCCCTAGAGACTCAACACTATCATATTCCAGTTTTATGGAGTGTCCGGGGATGTGATAAGTTCTTCCCTGTGTCCAAGTGAACCAGAAAACGAGACTGTGGACCCGGCTTTCGCCAAAGACCACTCACAGGGAGAAAGGAGAGACTCAGAGACCTGGAGGTGGAAGAAGTACCATTGGTTGGAATGGTTCCAAGGTTCCAGTAGTGCGAGCATATAGTACCATTGTTTGTTCCAGGAGCGCTGAGGAGACTGGAGGTATATGGTTGAATGGATATGATCCTGGACCTATACGAATCTGCAAAACCAAGGATGAAGTCGAGCGCTGAGGCCAAGGCTTTCCAAGCGCTTGCAAGTCCTGCAGTGTCATATTCACCGTGCTGGAAGAAGAGCGAGGAACTTGAGCAGTTAAGTTGGGAGGACATACATTCTACATCCCCAAAACAAACACCAAAAATAAAGGTAACTGCGCCCCTAAGGGGCGTGCGCTTGTGAGTTCTTTTACAACGTGCATTAATTTTCCAGCAAGTGTATATTGTCCCACTTTCGTGAGGTTTTTGGACCGAGAGTGTTGTTCGGGAGGAGGTGAAAGAAAGTGCTGAAGGGGTTGCTCGGAATGTACGTTTTTAGATGTTTTGCGACAGCTTGAAACAAGAAACCAAAAACTCCTGACCTTTAAAGACCTACAGTATAGGAACACAAGAATTATATACTACACCTCTCTGGCCAAGGATACTTTCGCTCCCCATCCATGGCCTAGCATCAAGTATGTCTGCAAGTACAAGTGACGTCAATAGTGCAAGTGACATCAAAGCCACGAAAGCTGAAAAAAACTTGCAGTTTACGCATGGCCCCTTAGGGGCGCGGTTACCAAAAACACTCACTCACTCACTCACTCACTCACTCACTCACTCTCTCACTCAAGCAAGCAAGCAAGCAAGCAAGCAAGCAAGCAAGCAATCGATCAGCTATTTTAGATATTGGTTCTTTGCACTAAGTGAATGCGAATTCACCAAAGATCCATAATCTTTGATTGTTTCGCACTCCGATTGTCAGTGCTTCATGTCATAATTATGGGTATAGCGAGAAACAAACATCGCGCTAAGACACTTCAACAATCGAACCATCCTATAATTGACTCCCACAGTTTCCTAAAGGTTACAGTAACCTTTTCCACCTTGCTCTTATTTTCGTGGGATACCAATCGCCTAAAAAGGTTAAAGGTTATCCACAGAATGGGTGGGATAATGGCTTGCTTCAGAGCTCAACCAGCTCCGTTCTGGGCCTGGCATTTGCCGATCAAAGCGGATACGAAGCAGTGGAACCCAGCAACTTCACTGATGTGAGGATCCTTGATAGCCTACCTCCATACCAGCTTTAAAAGAAAACGCATTAAACAAGCCAGGGATGTCGAGGCGTGGATAGACTTGATCGCAAGATTCGTGTGTGTGAGGTGTGTTTCATGACACGTTTACACTCCGACGAACAGATCACATGGCTCGGTGGAGACCACCCTGTTTGAGGCCATGTCATCCATCTACTTCCGATGTCGTCAGTGGGTCATCGGTCATCCATCGGTCATCCAACTCAACTCAACTATCCGCCTGCACAAGGTAGGCTTCAATGTTCTCAAGCAGCGTAGCACGACCTGCTGTGCAAATTCCACTCGCTCAAAGTCTACACACGTCCTATGGATCCACTGCTACCCTCTGAAAGGATGAGTTGAGAAACATAAGGCAAGGCGTCAGGAGGTTCCACGTACATTCGAAGGTACGACGGGATTTGTGGAGACACATGTCATTAGCTCTTGGAGCATATATGTCATAGGCTTAGACCATGTATGCAGCCTCCTTCCTTTGCGAGATCTGTGTTCGACGCCCATGCCTATAGACATCTGGTGGGACTTAGCTTGCGTGAAGGAAGCTTTGCCGAAAATGAAGAATACACCCTACACTACAATAGAGATTATTGTAGATCTGGTGATGTTAGTATAAACTCCGAAGCCAAGAAGAGGTACTGCCCGCTGCCAGAGATGTCACAGAAAAACCTTCCCGCAGTCCTTTCAGCTCTGGAGTGGCATGTTACATGGGGCCGAAACCTCGTCCTTGGAGCTGTAAAACCCGCAGAGGTGCATTGTTTCACCATGTTTCACCCCAGTGGTTTCAGAGTAAATGGCACAAACCCGAAGATGTCTTTTAGATGGGGATCCATATAAACCACCCAACTTGGGGATTGTGCCATCTATTCTGAAACCACATCCAATTCACTGGAGAGTTTTTTTCACCCTTCTCACAGGGCTGTTTCACTCGGATCGTCCATTTCCCGCCCGAGCGAAACAGCTGGGTGTCCCACTGCTGCAGCTCATCCCCTGCGGAACGGCGCCCAAGGGCGACGCCAAACGCGGTCGGACGACCATGGACGACCGGACGGATGGGATTTCGCCGGGGTCGAGGAACTGGGAAAAAACACCCGTCGTCGCCGCATCAGGGTGGAAGGGGGTCTGCAACTGGGTCGGCCTATTCCACACTTAAAGTCAGTCTGGCAAACTTCACCGCCCCTTTAGGAGGGAAATGACGGGCACAATGGGTTCCACACGGCACGATTGGCTTGGGCCCTCGTCGCAGCATATCGATAATTGTGATATATTGTAATCAATCTTATGTGCTATATGTATTGCCCATAGTATCCCAATATATGCCTTTGCAGCAAGTCTACCTTGCACGTAGCATTGCTTGAATAGAGGGATACTGACATCCTTCTCAGGCACTCTTGACTCAAATCTCAAATGCATGTTGTTTTGTTAACATGCTTTTGACTCAAACCCTTCAAGGGCATGTGGAGGAATACCAAGGCAGCATTTCCTTGGATCCTCCGACCTTCCTATCAATAAAACCACAAGCAACTGAAAAACAAAAACACACATATATCGTACACCCATCCCATCCCCAAATGATTCGTTGAAATATTGGTTGTATACAATGATGATCTCATTCAAAAACCTTAAGAGCGACGACCACGTCGACCACGTCGACCGACCGTAAGTCGCGACGACCACGAAACAACGTCGGACGTCTGCCTCGCGACCTGCACTGTAGAGCACTAACTGCTCGATCAGCGTGCGTGCCTGCGAGGACCACGCGAGGACACCGCGCGCGATGCAACGCGCCGAGGTTTCGACCACGCGCGATTCCCCCGGCGTGTTGCCCCTGGAGGGGCACAAGCAGTCGTTTGGTCAGTTTCTTTGTTTTGATGCTGGCTTTGGATGGCACAAGTCTCCTGCCCAACTCTGTTGACTTTTGTTTCATAGCATGACAGTTGACCCAACTCCTGTACAAAAGGTAGCACGGTTGGACAAAAATTGGAGTCGTTTGCAAGGTTTGCCGGATGGCCGAAAATGCACTAGTTTCACTGTGATGTTCATCCGACCATTGATGGTGTTCTGAGCGTCCAAGAATATTCTTGCCTTTACACTTTACACTCTCTGAACTTCACGGAAGTCAAAACCATCTATTTGTACAGGAAGTCATGATCATCCCCAGGGGCTCCTTCCATCCGATTCCATGATTTCAGGGGAGATGTGTTTTGCATGGATCCTTTTCATCTTAGGAACCACTCGAACCATTTTTTCCGGTGAAAGCCGGAGTGACTTGCTCTGAAGTTCACTCTCATTCGGCCCGACTTCAGTCGACTGCCTGTCTCACGGCTTTCGGCTTTCGCTGGTCATCCGAGCTGGTGAACGTCACAGAAGGCTTCCGATCCGATCCTATACAGTCAGAAAAACAACAAAACCTATAAGAAAACTTGAGTCTTTCACGTGCTCCTATCAGATTTTGCCCTGGGTCATGGCAGTGGGGCACTCATTAACGAACAGATTCCTTAATCTGAGATGTCAATCTATGTCAACCTACCACCATGCTTAACCTGGGGAAACTTGGCTTCCTCACCAGTGGGATCATGCTGCATACGCCCACATGCACCATCCAAATGCGCCCAACTGGTCTCTCGGCCTCTGAAACCTCGGTGTAGATGGCACCTGCCGGTGTTGTGGTGGACGACCGGAGAGTGGACGCGGTTGGTTGACCCAACTCACCCGGTCAACATGTTTGAGAGGTCGAGGATTTC